AGCCCTACGCTGTCATCCCGAGGGTGGCTCGGGATTACCGCTTTGTTAACCCCGAGCCACACTCGGGAATAACAATGGATACGCGCTGCAATCGGCCCCTACGTGCAAAAAAGAAGCTCAAGTACTTTTTGGCACGAAGGGCATCTTTCAGCACGACAATACGCCCAGGTGGGAACCATGCCCATAGGGATTCATAGGATTTCACTTCTACAGTACATATACTATCCTATATACTAAGGTGTTAGATGACAATAGGGCTTGGTGCTGTCCCCTGGGGTTCTTCCGGATACTTTGATGTAGCTGGGCTGATGCACACACAGATGGCTTATATGCTTAGAAAATTGGTAATTTTCACTTGGTGATTATTTATTGGATAGCCTCTTTTTTTTCTCCTGTAGAAGTGGACTAAGTTCACAAAATGTGTCAAGAGTCCATGATAATATCGGATGGCCAGCGGTGAGGGGGAGAGAAGCCGCCCACAGGACGAGCTGTGACGGCCGCACGGCGCCCTTGTTGCCATGGCGCCCTGTGCGGCCGCACGGCTCGCACACCCCTAAGGCCGGCCCTGTGGGTGACCACAAAGGCCCCACATCTCAGTGACAGTATACGGTGCTTCCATTTCAGTTTCAGGGTACATTGGTGAATATAGTCCTTATTTGGGGCAATATTGAGCTGTTGCCAGATTCTGCTATAATGTTCTAGGCTTTACATGCTTTTGTTCATCTCTATCCTTTGTAAAGTCATCAGTAAAATGGTTATGTTCTAACCAGAACTATATATATATAATTTATTTGCGCCCCTGCTAGTTCTGCCACTGACTTCAAGATTTAGAGGGACTCCAAATATCTGCAATACATTATATAGCAATGCAGAATACCACCAGCTATAGAGGACTACAAATCCCAACAATTCATTATATAGCAATTCAGAATACTGTCAGCTATAGAGAACTACAAATCTGCAGTTGGATAGTATGGTACCACGGCTGGGATGGGGAGAAATGATCTGCAGTCAGAAGATAGCATAGTACCGTGGCTGGGATGAGGAGGAATGCTTTGCATTCAGATTACATTGTACTGTGGCTGGGATGAGGCTCAGGAATGCTCTGCAGTCCTCTGTAGTGGTAGATGAGGAGGAGGAATGCTCTGCAGTCAGATAACATGTTCCATGTCTTAGGCTGCTAAGTGCCTGGAAAGAATATGATGGCAAAGCAGAGGAATTGCAGACGGGCCTCTGCCGTGTGCAGCCCAACCACAGAAACATTTAAAAAACAAATATTAAAAAAACAGCCTTAAATACATATGAAAAAAAATAACAGGTAAAAAAAAAAGAAAGAAATTGCAGCGGGGAATCTACCAGTCTGGGGCAACCAGGGCCAGGATATTTCTTTAAGATTACTGTATATGAGAGAGGTTGCAGCACAAAGAGCTTGGAAAAATTAGGGCTCAGACTGCTGGACTTGGGGATGGTTATAGTGTAGCTTTAAGTTTTTTTGGCAGCTTCAGATGGCAGCTGATACCCACTGCCATCTGGAGCTGCACTGTCCAACCACTGTACAATAATGAACCCAGGCAGATTTGCTCATCCCTAGTTAACACCAATGACAACCATGCTAGCATTCTTCCTCATGGCCTTCCCCTTCAAGTTTAGTAAGCATAGAAGCAGGGCCGGATTTACTCTCTCTGCTGCCCCATGGCCAGGTTCCTCAATGCCCCCCCCTCCCCGCCAATCCCCCCCCCCGGGAGAATGGCAGACCTGCATACAATGTCGCCAAGATCACTTGTACAAAACAAGCGGCAGCTTCCCTGCTGTACATTTAGCTCTGCTTGCCCAAAGCAGGGCTAAATGTGGAAAATAACTACCCGCCCGATCATCGGAAGGTAGGAATTCCACACCCCTGCTGCCCCTCTACTCCCTGCTTCCCCCGATGCCGGACCTTGGTTGGCCTTGTGGGTAATCCGGCCCTGCATAGAAGGAGCTTTTACCTGAAAACAGGCAATGCCTATGGAGATCGCGCCAATCAACAGCAGATGTTCCTGGATAAATGTTTCCAGTTTGGACATACATCCTCCCTGAAATTACAAAGAAAAATACAGATAACTGCAAATATTTGAAGAGCTCCCCAGCAGAAAAGTATTTGAAGTAACCAGCTGCCAACATCAGTATTATATCCAATATGCCCTATGACTTTTTAGAATCATAAAGAAGAGCTTAAAGCCCTCAGTGCTTGTTCACATCGAAAGCGTGCGCTTTCCAGAGCGGTAGCTGCTGGAACACACCGCGATAGCTAAGAAACTCACCCCCCCCCCCCCCCCCCCCCCCTTTTTCCC